TGACCTGAATGGATAACCCTCCCTACCCCGAGTTATCTTGGGTGAATAACCTTCCTTACCCCTGACTGTCTTGGATAGCTAACTCTCCCCACCCTGAGTTAAAAATCCCAACAAATCTAATCTTAGACAACTGTAAGTTATTTTTCATTTTCTCTTGTTATGCAAAATCGTTTTCTATGTTTAGTTAAAGTCATTTCAGGGGGAACTATCTTGTTGTTGCAGAGTCAGGAGCAGATAAAGGTGAGGATGAAGGAGGTGATAATGGTGTGGGAGGAGCGGAAGCTGATGATGGAGGAGGTAAGATAATAATTACTACTGATAATACTGTGAAATACAATACTTGATTTCTTTCAGTAGCTGTGTGATCCGAGGAAGGTATCAGCGTATCCATGAAGTACAGATATTGTAAGTCAGAGTGCCCGTAGCTTGGTAGCGCACTCAGCTCACACATTGAGGCCTTTGGTTTGATCCCCGGTACGGGTGGAAACCCGTACCGGGGTTATGCTCTGCATAACCAGTTGCTTTCTACATGTATATAATATGTCACTTATGTCGGTTATGGTCCTGGAGTATACCTGGTGAGGGTTTCGGGGGTCATCGCCCCCGCGGCCCGGTCTGTGACCAGGCTTCATGGTGGATGAGGACCTGATCAACCAGATCAACCTGATCAACCAATGGAAATAAGTTACTTTGACTTGTTTTTTGGTTATCCTGGGTAATTTACACTAAGCATAATAATTGTACTTAAGTGTACCTGAGTCTCAATAAACTTTGTAAGCTTCTGCGTTAATGATTTAAAGCCAATCAGAACAGTTATTCAGAACAGTAATTCACATGGTTGATCAGACCCTGATCCACCATGAGGCCTGGTCACAGACCGGGCCGCGGGGGCGTTGACACCCGGAACTCTCTAAAAGTAAACTCCAGGTATACCTTAAATTCTTCAATAGAAATTGCCATCAGAACCATTGCATGGATTTATACAACTGTCTGCAAAATTATTTGTAGAGTTCCTGAGAAAAGTTTATCTTGTCTTATCTCTGTTGCTAAGTTCTGTATACAAGTGATTCCTTCGTTTATCTTCCACTGGTTGTTATTCTTTGTTTAGCTGGTGAAGCAGCAGAGGATGGAGAGGCGAAAGACGAAGATAAAGGCGGCGAGGAAGATAAGAGCGGTGAAGATGGCACAGAAGAGGGAGAAAGTGAAGAGCAGAAGGAAGGTGAGGTAGACGAGGCAGAAGGAGAGAAGTCAGACGAGGGAGCAGAGAAGACGTCTGATAAGGAAGAAGTGGAAGAAGAGAAGGAAGAGAGTGAAGAAAAGGAGGCAGGAGAAGAGGAAATAAGTAAGGAAGATGAAGGAGACGCAACTGGAGAGGGAGAGAAAGGAGGAGATAAAGACACATCAGAGACAGAAAAAGAAGAGTAGAGCATATTGATATTATATATATATATATATATAATAATACACAAATATATATATATATATATATATATATATATATATATATATATATATATATATATATATATATATATATGTGTGTGTGTGTGGTGTGTATGTATGTTTGAGAAAGTTTCGGTCACATGGGGGAGTAGGTGAGGCAGTATCATGTTCAGTCATGTTAAGCCATGGATCACCTCGACTTGACCAGCTGTGAACATTCACCAGTTCGAGCCCCGCTCTTCAGATTTTTCTCCTTCCTTTAACACATTAATTCGAACTGCTCTGAGTTTTCTTCTAGAATTTTGTTGAGGAAAGTTAAAAAAATAGGGTAACTCTTGCTTTGATGGTGAGCCATTGTGAGTGAACACGAGCACCAGTCATGTGAGTGAACGCGAGCACCAGTTATGTGAGTGAACGCGAGCACCAGTTATGTGAGTGAACGCGAGCACCAGTTATAATCCTCCGGAATTATTACAAAGAACTGAGAATAGCAGTGACAACACAGTACCTTAAGATGCACGTAAGTTCCCTGTCTTCTAATACCATGTTCACTTTTCCACTATAATCTACCTTGTCTATAATTACTATAACATTTGTTTTGTCTGTTTCGTAAGGTGAAGTCCAGGATCTTTACTTAATTTATGGTATAACTTAACAGATCTTTGAAGACAGTTTTGTTGTAGAGGTCTGAGCGCCGCTCAGACCTCTACAACACAGACCTAATTACCTTCCATCTGTCCCATTTCCCAGGAGCTGTCAGACCCTTACGGGTTTAGTGCTTTCCTACGAATACAGTAATAATACATATCTTTCCAAACAGCTCACGTCCAACCTCTTTGTTGTGGCTGTTACTGTAGTGAGGAAGCCCTAAGCCCGTAGGGGACGCACACCGCCTGGGGAATGGGAAATGATTAGGATCAGGTATGATGCAAGGAAAGGAAGCTTAGCTCCATTTCCTTGGATCGAAAGTTCTATAGCATCAAGATGCCACTCTTGATGGGAACCTTAAGTTAAAAAGGATGACGTTTTAAATTGTAGGTTATTATAGTATTCTTGTATCATTAGCGCCTCAACACAGAGAAGGAAGGAAGGAAGGAAGGGAGGAAGGGAGGAAGGAAGGAAGGAAGGAAGGGGCTAGCCATCAAAGCTGGGTTACTCACTTCTGTTATATATCTTGTTAGTGTTTATTCCTAAAACATCGTGTTTACGCTCATCTGAACAATTTTATTGTTGGTCGAACTGATGTGAAAGTCCGGAGTCTCGAGCCCGTACTCTGGCCATGAGTGTGTGTGTGTGTTATGATCCCCTCTGTCCTTGGACTATATCTCCTTGAGCTTTCCCTGCTTACAGTACCTTGTCTGGGTTGGCTTAGAAGATAATTATGATAGAGTGAACAGTAACGGAATCAGTTAGAAATTTAATGAAAAGTTCAGATGAACATGCGATAGAATGATCTGTAGTATGAGAGTTAGTTAATTGGTTAACTGAGCTAATGAGTAAGTTTCTCAGAGGCGTGATTCATGACGTCATAAATGGCCATTAACTGTGTTAGCCAGTAATGTGTCCTCTCTGATGCATGTTCCATGACTTCAAGAACCATCAAGCGTTAAAGCTTTACCAAACAAGCTTAAACCATCCAGTTTATAAGAGTTCTACATCCCAAACATATCTTAAGTCTACAGTTGTCCTCGCGGGGTCATTTTCGTAGCTGCACAAATTCTACATATCATTATGCCTTAATTAAGTCCACAATTAGGATAATTACTACTACTACGGGCGTAAGTTTAAGTAAGGAAGGCTGAAAACAGACCTTATCAGCAATATATAAAACTTCAGGTTGTCAGGTAACCATAAAAAATTCCTTAATGCATTTTTTAATTAAATAGTATTAGTTGATCAGTGATAGAACCTTCATAGAGAGAATCACATGGCACCTTGTTATATAGATGTGTCTCTGGTATTTGACAGATGTACTGGTGTATAATACTCTAATAAGTGTGTCTGGTGTCTGGCGTATGATACGCCAGACGCTGTTATTGTGCGTGTCTGGCGTTTGACAGATGTGTCTCGTGGTTAATGTGCGTGTCTGGCGTTTGATAGATGTGTCTCGTGGTTAATAATGAGCGTGTCTGGCGTTTGTCAGATGTGTCTCGTGGTTAATGTGCGTGTCTGGCGTTTGATAGATGTGTCTCGTGGTTAATAATGAGCGTGTCTGGCGTTTGTCAGATGTGTCTCGTGGTTAATGTGCGTGTCTGGCGTTTGATAGATGTGTCTCGTGGTTAATGTATATGTCTAGTGGTTGATAGATGTTTCTAGTGGCTGATGTGTAGGTCTGGAGGTTGATAGATGTGTCTAGCGCCTGATGTGTATGTCTGGAGGTTGATAGATGTTTCTAGTGGCTGATGTGTAGTCTGGAGGTTGACAGATGTGTCTAGCGGCTGATGTGTATGTCTGGAGGTTGATAGTTATGTCTACCGGCTGATGTGTAGGTCTGGAGGTTGATAGATGTGTCTAGCGCCTGATGTGTATGTCTGGAGGTTGATAGATGTTTCTAGTGGCTGATGTGTAGGTCTGGAGGTTGACAGATGTGTCTAGCGGCTGATGTGTATGTCTGGAGGTTGATAGATATGTCTACCGGCTGATGTGTAGGTCTGGAGGTTGATAGATGTGTCTAGCGCCTGATGTGTATGTCTGGAGGTTGATAGATGTGTCTAGTGGCTGATGTGTAGGTCTGGAGGTTGATAGATGTGTCTAGCAGCTGATGTGTAGGTCTGGAGGTTGATAGATGTGTCCAGCGGCTGATGTGTAGGTCTGGAGGTTGATAGATGTGTCCAGCGGCTGATGTGTATGCATAGTGGTAGATCGGCGTGTGTGATGTTTGATAAATGTGTCTAGCGGTTGATGTGTAGGTCTGGTCCTTGATAAATGTATCCGGCTTTCAATAGACGTATATAGTGTTTGATAAAAGCGTTTGATGTTTAATAGACGTGTCTGGCATATGACAAGGGTGTCAAGCGTGCCTGTCTTTCATTATATGTGTATAGGATTTGACAACCGTGCCTAACGTGTGATATATATGCCAGGAGTTTGAGTGACGTGTCTGGCGTTTAACAGACGTGTCTAACGTAAGACAAATGTATCTAGTGTCATAGCATTTCATGACTTTCTTCTTCATAATCATCATCTAGTTATTCACGGGAAGAAAGAAGCAAACAACATAAATACTGTATATGTGTTTTGCATGTTGCAGAAAGTCTGGAAGATGATAGAAGCGTATGTGATAAAAGTCGCTGAAAGATACCCTAAAGACAATAATTTAATTGGTTTCTTTCATGAAAAAAACGATAAACCAGTTAGGGTCATGCAGTGGTAAATTTCTGACAAATTGGGTAATATCAAAGAAAATGTTAGGTCCTTCATCCGTTGTGTGTTCCTGAGAGACAGTAGCCTCGAACCCACTTACCCTGCCCTGTCTTGCCCTGCTCACCCCTGTCATGCCCTGTCCTGCCCTTCCCTGTAATGCCCTGTCCTACCCTGCTGCCCTGCCCTGCCTGGTAAAGGTGTTTCAATTTTGAGGATACAAGGTTCTGGTTTGTATGAGATCATTACAGTATTACGCAGTACACATCCACTCGGTAAGGACGGTAGGCAGAGATTCCTGTCAGAGTTAGTCAGAGTTTGTATGTTCGTCTCAGTATCAAAATACACAGTGGAAATATATCACTTTACTGGGTTATCTTAGAATAAATTCTACACACTTCACAAAACCATCGGAAAGGTTTAATATTATGTTTGAGGCCTAAATGAAAACTAACTTATTAAAAAATATACTTTATCCGATTTAGTGTTAAATTCTCCAAATGTTTCATTTTTATTTTTATAGAATAACCAATGAATAAATAAATGTTATTTTTGTTTGAATTTACTTATAGAGCACAAGTGTAATAGAGCCTCGCTCTACCTACCATTAAAAATACCAGAATACAAACTATATCAGCCTCCCAAATTTAAAGACCATACGATCTAGGTAGAGGAAGTGTGAAACACAAAGAGAAACAGAGAACATGACCCACATACCACCCCTCTTGTCCTACATTAGCCACATATCGCCCCCTCTTGTCCTACATTAGCCACATATCGCCCCTCCAGTTAACTGCCAGGTCCTGGGATACAGCTTCTTACCTTGGTAATGTTTAGCTTGTCAGAAGTTTGTGATAGATCAACTAATTTGCCTTGAAGAATGTTATTATTCTAGCTTATACATAAGACGTGACTTAAGCAATTATGATATGAACACCAAAATATTACATTGAATTTATTGGGTCATCCTAGGTTCAATTCTACATTATATACTATGTAAGACCTTTGTAAAGCTTTAAACTTATGTATAAAGCCTAAATAAACTTACTGACGGGAAAAAAACTGAGTAGAAATGAACTATATATTTTGGCTTCATTGTGAGACTATCTTCGGCATTTGACTCTTGTTTTATTTACTTGTTCATGAGTTACTGTTTACGAGACTTAATATTAACACCAGTCATGGTCTGGTGTACAGTGTGAGGGAGAAGATGACCGGTGCTTATCTAGGGTCTCCTGTCTACTTCCTAGCCACAACAGGCGGTATTTAACCTAATTATAAGTCACCTGACTATAGTTACTGACGATAATCACGAGACTTGATAATTATACATAATTACTAGGAATCTGAACACCTAAATAGCAGTTACAAAGTTTTATGTAATTTTTTTGACATGCTGAGAAGTCACAATTTTCGTTCGTTTTATGAAAATGTCCGAATATTTCATGACTATTTTAATCATAGTTCACGGCAAGTATGAGATAGTAAAGCAGAGATATCTTGAGTTATGTGTTTGTCAAGACAATAATGTGTAAAAAGTGAACTCTTTATTGCGACAGTAAATTATATGCAAAAATAATTGTATTTTTATTATCATGTGTGTTTCGTATTGTATGAAAGAAAGATCACAGTCAGCAGGGTTCGAAGCCACGTCAGGGAAGGCTGACAAGGGTTCCCAAGTGACGCTCTAGATCACTCGGCCAGAGATACCTCAAAAGCTGGGCAGCGTTGTTTACAATCCATGTTTCTCCCACCCCGAGCACGCCAGTGAACCTCAAGAAGGGTTTCAAGTAATTTGCCGATATATATATATATATATATATATATATATATATATATATATATATATATATATATATATATATATATATTATATATATATATATATATATATCGGCAAATGCAAAGAAATAAAAAAATAGAAGCTGCGAACTTTTAAATGGATTAAGACACAACAGTGTAAGTGTCAAGCTTCACTTGAAGCCTCAGTATAATCAAAACTGTATTTGTGTATTTTTCAAGCAACCTTTTAGTTATACAAGGTTTTACCTATAGTGGAAGATTTATTGGGTACCCAATGAAGTTTTTAGCGAGTGAAAATTTATACTTAACACCTGCAGTTGGTAAAACCTAGATCATGAGCCTCCAATGGTCGAAGTAGTGAAACCTTGTACTCGATACTTCCAGTGAGTGAAACCTTGTACTTGACGCCTCCAGTGAGTGAAACCTTGTACTCGACGTCTCCAGTGAGTGAAACCTTGTACTCGACGTCTCCAGTGAGTGAAACCTTGTACTTGACGCCTCCAGTGAGTGAAACCTTGTACTCGACGTCTCCAGTGAGTGAAACCTTGTACTTGACGTCTCCAGTGAGTGAAACCTTGTACTTGACACCTCTATTGAATGCAGTCAGCGCAGTCCGAGAAAGAAAAAGCCAGATCCTGTGATCAAGAGCCCATCACCGGCATCAAGGACCCTCCCTGGGAGAATCCCTCACTGTACATACACTGAAAGATAAGCTTGTTAATGTATATATCTTGAAAAATATACACCTGTCAATTCATATACCCTGATAGATACACACCCTTCATTGTATATACACTGAGTAATACATACCTACCAATATATATATACACCTGTCAGTGTATATACTGACAGATGCACACCTGCCGATTTATACGCATTGATAGATACAACTGTCATACACACCTATCAGTGTATATACATTGAGAAATATACCTGTCAGTGTATATAACGTTGTAGCAGGTATGTGGGTAGTTCCTTCTCACATGTGAAGGACGATGTTGAAAAAAGTTTTTTTCTTTATTTCCTTTGGGAGAACATTGTTCTTTTCCCCTCATGTTACACTTATGGCTGTGATGACAGACTGAAAAAAAAGGTCTCCGAGAATGGTCCATACATTTTCCTTAGGGTGTTCCTTCATGGTTATTTAGAACAGCTCACATGTTCTTCTAAATATAACTAGGGCATAAAAAAACACACAAGAGAATGGTCAGTTGGGTAAAACTGAGAAGTTGGTCTCTGAAATATCTTGGGATTTTACAGGGGATTTCTACTTCGTCTCCTTTACTATCACTGAAGCTCACGTGGTTGACCATAGAAAACGTATATGGGTGTTTATTTTCTGACAAAAGCACTTACAGAACTATTCTGACGTAACACACGGTCAGTGGAACCTGGAAGAGCTAATTCGGGATTGTAATCAAATTCTGAGATGAAGAATAAGACTCTTAAGTGAAACTTTTAATTTTATTTACATCCTGCCCACACACACCTGACTCCATGATGCTCACTTTATGAGTCAATTGTTTATAGATGTAAATCAAATATGTAAATCACCCGTAAGCTATTGAAGCATCTTCACGTGTAACACGAGAAAAGTTTGATTTCTTGCTCTTATGTAATATAACGAACACTTCCAACACCTCAACATGAAAGAAGAAGAAACACAAGAATGTGAGTCAAGAATATGTATAAAGGAAAAAATATTTTAATTAACTCTAGCAACATAATTATTATAATAACGCAGCTAAAAACTGAAGGAAAAATAGCAATATCTATGATGTATTATAATTAATAGGAAGAGTTAAACTCGAATGGGCCACACAGTAAATTGTAAAAGGGTGGTAATCAATTTTGATCCGAGGAAGGGAAAAATAGCTTCACTTCGACTAAGACACTTTTACTGACATAAATGCTGCCCCATACATGGGCTCAGCTGTATAGTTACAATGGTTCGCGAAATTGTAGCAATACCGACGGAAGGATTGTAGCCCAAGGCAAGCACTGTCCGGATAGTTTTAAAACTGGCTTGTGGTAAGTTCGAACCCTCTCCGTTTGACGGACTGGTTACAGTGGTGTTATGAAATATATGGTGTAATGATATAAGTCAACATTGTCTTTGTTTCGTGGGGTGTAAAGCCTACCATAAAGCCTTATAACTGACACCAGTGTCAGGAAGGTGTCAGTCAGTGACCAAAACATCCAGAGTGAGTCATCATAACTGGCACCAACGTCAGCATATTTTATCCCGTCTCTCGTGTCACATAAAATATCACCACCATAATGATAGTAAGGTAGTAAACTATAATAAAATTATTAAACAAGGGAGTAAACTATAATAAAGACATTAATTCCAAATGGTAGTAATAAAATGAAAGAAGACAGAAGCATTAGTAGAGCAGAAGTGAGGTCTGAGAGTATCTATACTTTATTGTATACGATCATGGCTAAGTAACCTTCCATAATAACTCATATTTTAGCTGAATATTATCACCATATTAACAATTATTACAATATTAAAAAATCTCCAGTATCATCATGCGAGTATTCATCAATATACATTATTAACGTCATTACGAATATTCATCAATATACATTATTAACGTCATTACGAATATTCATCAATATACATTATTAACGTCATTACGAATATTCATCAATATACATTATTAACGTCATTACGAATATTCATCAATATACATTATTAACGTCATTACGAATATTCACCAATATACATTATTAACGTCATTACGAATATCACCAATATACATTATTAAGTCATTACGAATATTCATCAATATACATCATTAACGTCATTACGAATATTCATCAATATACATTATTAACATCAGATGATAATTCATCAACTTTCATAATTACAAAATCATTATTTTCTTTACATTAACATATAATGTTAAAGACATTTTCAACATCACAACAAATCATCCTAGACTGTCATTGTTACTCATTATAACTCATAATGATGTTAACTTTCCTCACAATAAAGTATGGAACATTATTTTAGTGATATAAGAGATTACTTATCACCTTCCAAGACACTACGAGACTGGTCATCATAATGTGACACTTACACTCGTGGGGAAGCGTAAGAACCGTACGGGTCACAACCTGTGAGTTTGGGAGGTAATTAGAATTGATCCGAGGAAGAGGAGGATAACCCCTTAGACACACTGGACAAGGGCCGTCTTATATACAACTGGTTATGCTCCATTTTGGAATCAAATTTCATAGCTACATCGTTCTTTGCCACATTCATCGCTATCATCATCATCACTATCATCACCATCGCTATCATCATTATTGTCATCATCACTATCATCATCATCATCATCATCCAAAAGCTTAACACAACACTGAGTGCCACACTTTCTTAGTCTACAGTATATACATAATTAATGTATTATACATGTGGGGAGAGCAGAGGCCAGAAGCTGAACGAGATAGACAGATACATAGATAGATACATAGACAGAGAAAGAGAGAGAGAGAGAGAGAGAGAGAGCAAAGGGCAGACACCACCCAAAGCTTGCCTAGGGAACTTAACACTAATGTTTTTGCTTGTATAAATAGACAAGGAGGCTAACTTTAAGGCATTAAGACACAGCAGACTGATGGTTATATTACACCTTCCCCCCACCTCCTATACTGTGTGTGTGTGTGTGTGTGTGTGTGTGTGTGTGTGTGTGTGTGTGTGTGTACTCACCTAATTGAGGTTGCAGGGGTCGAGTCCAAACTCCTGGCCCCGCCTCTTCAATGGTCGCTACTAGGTCACTCTCCCTGAACCGTGAGCTTTATCATACCTCTGCTTAAAGTTATGTATGGATCCTGCCTTCACTACGTCGCTTCCCAAACTATTCCACTTCCTGACTACTCTGTGGCTGAAGAAATACTTCCTAACATCCCTGTGATTCATCTGTGTCTTCAACTTCGAACTGTGTCCCCTTGTTGCTGTGTCCCATCTCTGGAACATCCTGTCTTTGTCCACCTTGTCAATTCCTCTCAGTATTTTGTATCTCGTTATCATGTCATCCCTATCTCTCCTGTCCTCCAGTGTCGTCAGGTTGATTTCCCTTAACCTCTCCTCGTAGGACATTCCTCTTAGCTCTGGGACTAGTCTTGTTGCAAACCTTTGCGCTTTCTCTAGTTTCTTTACGTGCTTGGCTAGGTGTGGGTTCCAAACTGGTGCCGCATACTCCAATATGGGCCTAACGTACACGGTGTACAGGGTCCTGAACGATTCCTTATTAAGATGTCGGAATGCTGTTCTGAGGTTTGCCAGGCGCCCATATGCTGCAGCAGTTATTTGGTTGATGTGCGCTTCAGATGTGCCTGGTGTTATACTCACCCCAAGATCTTTTTCCTTGAGTGAGGTTTGTAGTCTCAGGCCCCCTAGACTGTATTCCGTCTGCGGTCTTCTTTGCCCTTCCCCAATCTTCATGACTTTGCACTTGGTGGGGTTGAACTTCAGGAGCCAATTGCTGGACCAGGTCTGCAGCCTGTCCAGATCCCTTTGTAGTTCTGCCTGGTCTTCGATCGAGTGAATTCTTCTCATCAACTTCACGTCATCTGCAAACAGGGACACCTCGGAGTCTATTCCTTCCGTCATGTCGTTTACAAATACCAGAAACAGCACTGGTCCTAGGACTGACCCCTGTGGGACCCCGCTGGTCACGTGTATGTGTGTGTGTGTGTGTGTGTGTGTGTGTGTGTGTGTGTGTGTGTGTGTGTGTGTGCAAAGCTCTCAGAAACAGATTAAATACACTATACATCACAATGCTTTAATTTCGGTAGTAATGATATATTAAAAATTATTTATATCATCATTATTGTTCTCTGACACTGATACAAAAATATCATTGAGGCTGAGTACCATTAGTGGTACAAACATGGCTTCGACTAAAACAGAAAATGTCTTGTGACAAATGCTCAGGCAGAGGACTTACAAGAGAATCTTTGTTTTGATTTTTGTCTTAAAGTGAGAGTTTTTCTCGCTTCCTACTGTCTTGTACCCCTTTAAAGTTCACCCTTATCAAAGAAACTATAATGAACCTCTCACAAGGTGCTTCAGTGTATGTATGTATATATAGTGATTTGCGGTTGAGTTAGTTTAACACTGCGTCGGCCAGGGGAAGACAGTTAAGATGGTCCCACTTATGCACTACCTGTTTCCCTTGTAGAACTGTGTGGAGAGAGAGAGAGAGAGAGAGAGAGAGAGAGAGAGAGAGAGAGAGAGAGAGAGAGAGTTGAATAATTCCATAAAAAAAGTCTTCACATATGAACACACAGGAAATTAAATTTTTTCTAAGACGCTAATATATAGAGGTGACTGTTTACACTCGCCAACGCGTCATTGTTATTGTTGGCGTTCTGTAGGACAAATGTGATAGTGTTGGAGGAGGTGTGATGATGTTTGAGGCATTACTGGAGGAAGAGGATGGAAGCCACGTTTCAACGTTCAATAAGATGCAATGAAGGAGACCTCGGTATCGCACACTCATTTGACAATGTGCATCCTGAGCCATTCATCTTAGCTCAGCAAGTCATCTTGACTTAGCTAGTCATCATGGCTCAGCCAGTTATCTTGGCTCAGGTAGTCATCCTGGCTCGACCAGTAATCCTGGTTCTCTTGCACGACAAACACATGCCTTACGAGGTCAAAGAAATATCTTAGATGCTAAACGTACACTTGGGCAAATGTTTCATAAGCTACGAAATGAACTATATTTGCGATTTTGACTAAAATAGACTCCCAATGCTTTTTTGGGAGGCTAAGTAGACATCGTGGCGAGGCATTTTTTTTTTATCAGTTATTCGTTCTGAAGATTTATTTTTTGACGTACTTAAAGAGATTTTATGTTTCCTTGGGGACAAAGAGAAGTGTGGAAGATCTATGACCAGCTTGGAAGAGACTTCGGGCGAAGCTGTGTGTCAAACTGACGACTGAAGAAGCTAAAGGAAGCCTCACAACACGAGGGATGAGGCCAAATCTTGGAGGCCAGAGAAAGTGATGAGAGGCCACTGAGTTTAGTGAGGAGAGTGAGGGTGTTAGTGAAGGCTGGCTGTAACTATGTGTGATGGTAACAGGAGAGTAGTTTCCATCACCCACGATAGTCTCTTAGATGTGATGGTACCAGGAGAGTAGTCTCCATCACCCACGATAGTCTCTTAGATGTGATGGTACCAGGAGAGTAGTCTCCATCACCCACGATAGTCTCTTAGATGTGATGGTACCAGGAGAATAGTCTCTATCACCCACGATAGTCTCTTAGATGTGATGGTACCAGGAGAGTAGTCTCCATCACCAACGATAGTCTCTTAGATGTGATGGTACCAGGAGAGTAGTCTCCATCACCAACGATAGTCTCTTAGATGTGATGGTACTAAGAGAGTAGTCTCCATCACCAACGATAGTTTCTTAGATCTGATGGTACCAGAAGAGCATATAGTCTCCATCACCCACGATAGTCTCTTGCACACCTGACCAGAGAGATATATCATTAAAATGGCAGACATTATGTTAGTTATTATAATTAATATTATGCTGTTTGATGAAGTTGCTTTCAGCATATCACTGTAATTATGTCTGTGCTTCGATATTATTATTATTATATTATTATTAATTATTATTATTATTATTATTATTATTATTATTATTATATTATTAATAATAATAATAATGAATAATAATAATAATAATATTTAATAATAATACGTACTATTATTATATTTATGAGAAGTGCAAAACCCATATGGGTCATACAACGCCTGGAGAATGACATAGTTAGGTTTGATTCAAGGAAGAGGAGAGTAATTCCTTGGTTGAAGAGCCCTTTATCAGTGTCCAGACACCTTCCTTGAAGGGTACTATGAAGAACACCGTAGTCGTGAAGAATTCTTCACGACTACGGTGTTCTTCACACCAACTCCAAGACTGAGGGACTGATTACTTCATCCTTTGTATTTATATATATATATATATATATATATATATATATATATATATATATATATATATATATATATATATATATATATATATATATATATATATATATATATATATATATAGTCTTGTATGAGTGTGACTGACCTGTGCCCACGATGAACTTGTTATCAGGTTTGGTCCCTGGTACTGGTGGCTCCTTCATGCGGAAGAGAAGCCAGAACCAGTAACCTAACTTCTGCTCTTGCGCTCCCGCCAGCGTGTGGATGTAGAGACCGTGACCCCAATGTGAGGCAGAAAACCTGCGTGAGAATACAGGTTGCAGATACGTACACACAAAGTGACTTGAACACATTTACACGTCTAGAATCAGGTACACATATTTAGAGACTAAGGGAATCAAAGTTGTGAGATTCTTTGAGCACTTGAAGCACAGTCAGTTATTCAAATAAAAGATCTTTCACCCATACTAGTGTAATAAGATAAACTTCATTTTAAAAGACCTCCCTTCTTTCCCCCGGTTATAATCATTTACATTATAACGACCAAACAAAAAAAATCGCATCCACTGAATTTTTAAAGTTAACCACAGATAAAGTTTCAATTTAAAAGTTTATTAGTCTCCACAGACACTCGGTAATTATCAACAATTGTTCCTCAAACTAAAACTTAGTAACCCGAGGAGACAGTTGAAAGAAGACGCACTGTCAGAAGTCTCTCACTAATAACACTACGAGATGACGACACCGTCAGGCAGGTGGCCGACCTCTACTGAGTGTGCACAATCCTTAATTTGCAGGGAATCAACTCATGGTTATGATTCCGGTAGAAAATAGAGCACTAAACATTCATGTCCAGCCCAATCCCATAAAACTTGCTGCCCATTTGTTCAACCAACTGTGCTTGCCATTTTCCAAGAACATTGTGCTTTATGTGTCCCAAAACGTCACTCAGTGTTAAGCCAGAAGTCTACTACTGAGTATACTCAACTCAGCATCCTTTGCTTCGTTGTCTGTTCATTACTAGGGACCCCTACATGACTCAGGCATTATTCCTCTATACCAGTAATAAAGATGGGCAAGTCACTGCATAAGTGTTTGCACCACCGAATACACTGACACATACTGCATAAGGGTGACCAGAGTATTACTATGCGAGTCAGAGTACACAGACAACCATAAACTGCCATTTACAAATATCTAGATGAGAACTGCAGAATGGCATAGAGCTCCACGGTAAGTGCCAGGGGCTCGCTTGGTAACTGGGCACACTATAAGACTGAGCCCTCAATAATGTTCAGCAAGAAGTTTATCTATCCTCGCTTTTCAAGCCCTTGGACAAGAGGCATGACCCTCGAGATGGGGCTAAATCATGGTAATGAAGTTGTCATTCACCACTAACAGAGACTCTGGTACAGTTAAAAATGCAGGAAGAAAACTCAGTCGAATTCTCAGGTAGTGTTGGGCTCCAGCAAACGTAGTAGGCAAAGGCAGGGAGAGGCACAGCTCTGGCAGTCCTACCTCAGCATGGAGTGACAAAAGGCTGAACATAGGTGAAGCATACTGCACCTGCTTACACCCAGGTGAGGTGTGAGAGAAAGGTGTGGTGTGAGAGTTCCTTCAGAATATCCATTGCCTGTAGTAGATCCACTGTGAGCTTCTTCAGATGGTTAGGAACGTCGTTTAATAGTTTATTAGCTGTGAAAGAATTGGGAATAATTAGAAATCACGATAGGTTAAAGATGTGCAAAAAACAGCGAATACTTACAACATTAAGTAGCTGTGGGTACTTATGACATTACCTGAGGATTCCTACACAACCACTAGCAGGTACTTACACAAAGCGGTCGTCTTGTTCAGCTGCCATCTTCATGACGGTGAGGAAGGTGGTGTTGACAGGAACAGTGAAAGTTAGATTGTAGTTGGAAGAAGCGTTGTTTCCCTTCCATATGATGTATGTGAGCTTCACCTGAGGGCAGGAAGGACACAGGGAAGGTATGGTAGATTAGAAAGGTGATGAAGGAAGGAGATGGAAATAAGGAGGGAGATAAAGAGAAAGGGAAGTATTTGCTTCAGCATCATCTTCATATATAATAAATATTTAAGATTATATTCCCCATATATCAAACTAATATCAACAACTCATAATCTTACAGTTTTTTGTACGGTACATAATAATATTCTCACAAGCTAGCTGTGGTGGAGACATCTGAGGCCACCACAAGCTTGCTGTGGTGGAGACATCTGAGGCCACCACAAGTTAGCTGTGGTGGAGACATCTGAGGTCACCACAAGCTAGCTGTGGGAGAGACATCTGAGGTCACCACAAGTTAGCTGTGGTGGAGACATCTGAGGCCACCACAAGTTAGCTGTGGTGGAGACATCTGAGGCCACCACAAGTTAGCTGTGGTGGAGACATCTGAGGCCACCACAAGTTAGCTGTGGTGGAGACATCTGAGGCCACCACAAGTTAGCTGTGGTGGAGACATCTGAGGTCACCACAAGTTAGCTGTGGTGGAGACATCTGAGGTCACCACAAGTTAGCTGTGGTGGAGACATCTGAGGCCACCACAAGCTAGCTGTGGGAGAGACATCTGAGGTCACCACAAGTTAGCTGTGGTGGAGACATCTGAGGTCACCACAAGTTAGCTTTGGTGGAGACATCTGAAGTCACCACTAGATAATAATTATGTGGTATTTAGATGGGGTGTAAAACCAAGTAGGGATAAATAATCATAAATTACATGTCATTATCTTACTGAGACTCATGTCAGGAGACACGTGTCATGTCTGGTGAAGAACAGACCACCACCCATGCTACTACTACTACTACTACTACTACTACTACTACTACTTCTACTACTATTACTACTACTACTACTACTACTACTACTACTACTACCAGAAGCAAGTAGCAGCAACAGCAGCAGCCATTACTATCTCACCATTGTGGTGTTGGAGATGTCAGGTCGCTGAGGCAGGTCAGTGGGCACTGGGGCAGGGTGGTCAGGCAGGTCAAACTCGTCCACTGGTAGTGAGAAAATGTTTTTAGATTTTGTCTCAAAGGTCAAAGGCATTGAAAATAGCAAACAAATAATATGGCCAACTATTGTTTACGTAGAGGATATGTTGCAGGAGTATAGTGAACCCTCACGTAATTATAGTGAACCCCTCACGTAATTATAGTGAACCCTCACGTAATTATAGTGAACCCTCACGTAATTATAGTGAACCCTCACGTAATTATAGTGTACCTCACGTAATTATAGTGTACCCTCACGTAATTAAGTGTACCCTCACGTAATTATAGTGAACCTCACGTAATTATAGTGAACCCTCACGTAATTATAGTGAACCCTCACGTAATTATAGTGAACCCTCACGTAATTATAGTGTACCCTCACGTAATTATAGTGTACCCTCACGTAATTATAGTGAACCCTCACGTAATTATAGTGAACCCTCACGTAATTATAGTGTACCCTCACGTAATTATAGTGTACCCTCACGTAATTATAGTGAACCCTCACGTAATTATAATGGCTGGTTCACATGTTATTATAATGGCTGGTCCACATGTTATTATACTGGCTGGTCCACATGTTATTATACTGGCTGGTTCACACGTTATTATAATGGCTGGTCCACATGTTATTATACTGGCTGGTTCACATGTTATTATAATGGCTGGTCCACATGTTATTATACTGGCTGGTCCACATGTTATTATACTGGCTGGTTCACACGTTATTATAATGGCTGGTCCACATGTTATTATACTGGCTGGTTCACATGTTATTATACTGGCTGGTCCACATGTTATTATACTGGCTGGTTCACACGTTATTATAATGGCTGGTCCACATGTTATTATACTGGCTGGTCCACATGTTATTATAATGGCTGGTCCACATGTTATTATAGTGGCTGGTCCACATGTTATTATACTGGCTGGTTCACACGTTATTATACTGGCTGGTCCACACGTTATTATAATAGCTGGTCCACACGTTATTATAATGGCTGGTCCACACGTTATTATAGTGGCTGGTCCACACGTTATTATAGTGGGTGGTCCACATGTTATTATAGTGGCTGGTCCACACGTTAATGTAGTGGCTGGACCACACGTTAATATAGTGGCTGGACCACACGTTATTATAGTGGCTGGTCCACACGTTATACTGACTGGTCCACATATTATTATACTGGCTGGACCACACGTTATTATACTGACTGGTCCACATGTTATAATACTGACTGGTCCACACGTTATTATACTGACTGGTCCACATGTTATAATACTGACTGGTCCACACGTTATTATACTGACTGGTCCACATGTTATAATACTGACTGGTCCACATGTTATAATACTGACTGGTCCACATATTATAATACTGACTGGTCCACACGTTATTATACTGACTGGTCCACATGTTATAATACTGACTGGTCCACATGTTATTATACTGACTGGTCCACATGTTATAATACTGACTGGTCCACTTGTTATAATACTGACTGGTCCACATGTTATAATACTGACTGGTCCACATGTTATTATACTGAGTGGTCCACATGTTATAATACTGACTGGTCCACATGTTATTATACTGACTGGTCCACATGTTATTATACTGACTGGTCCACATGTTATAATACTGACTGGTCCACATGTTATAATACTGACTGGTCCACACGTTATTATACTGACTGGTCCACATGTTATAATACTGACTGGTCCACATGTTATAATACTGACTGGTCCACATATTATAATACTGACTGGTCCACATGTTATTATACTGACTGGTCCATATGTTATAATGCTGACTGGTCCACATGTTATTATACTGACTGGTCCAAGTTATAATACTGAATGGTCCACATGTTATAATACTGACTGGTCCACATGTTTTTATACTGACTGGTCCACATGTTATAATACTGACTGGTCCACACGTTATTATACTGACTGGTCCACATGTTATAATACTGACGGGTCCACACGTTATTATACTGACTGGTCCACACGTTATTATACTGACTGGTCCACATGTTATAATACTGACTGGTCCACATGTTATAACACTGACTGGTCCACACGTTATTATACTGACTGGTCCACATGTTATAACACTGACTGGTTCACACGTTATTATACTGACTGGTCCACATGTTATAATACTGACTGGTCCACATGTTATAATACTGACTGGTCCACATGTTATTATACTGACTGGTCCACATGTTGTAACACTGACTGGTCCACACTTTATTATACTGACTGGTCCACATGTTATAATACTGACTGGTCCACATGTTATAACACTGACTGACCCACATGTTATAACACTGACTGGTCCACACGTTATTATACTGATGGTCCACATGTTATAATACTGACTGGTCCACATGTTATAATACTGACTGGTCCACATGTTATAATACTGACTGGTCCACATGTTATAATACTGACTGGTCCACATTTTATAATACTGACTGGTCCACATGTTATAATACTGACTGGTCCACATGTTATAATACTGACTGGTCCACATGTTATAATACTGACTGGTCCACATGTCATAATACTGACTGGTCCACATGTTATAACACTGACTGGTCCACATGTCATAATACTGACTGGACCACATGTTATAACACTGACTGGTCCACATGTTATAATACTGACTGGTCCACATGTTATAACACTGACTGGTCCACATGTTATAACACTGACTGGTCCACATGTTATAATACTGACTGGTCCACATGTTATAATACTGACTGGTCCACATGTTTATAAACACTGACTGGTCCACATGTTATAATACTGACTGGTCCATATGTTATAACACTGACTGGTCCACATGTCATAATACTGACTGGACCACATGTTATAACACTGACTGGTCCACATGTTATAAAAACTGACTGGTCCACATGTTATAACACTGACTGGTCCACATGTTATAACACTGACTGGTCCACATGTTATAACACTGACTGGTCCACATGTTATAACACTGACTGGTCCACATGTTATAACACTGATTGGTCCACACGTTATTATAGTATAATATTTACTTAAGTGCCGGCAAAAAAATTACCTAATTAGCAGACAAACCTTTAAGGTTAAAAGTGGAAATAAGTCTCATGTAAATTTTTTCTTTTGACTTTGCGAACTGAATCAACCATTTAATGAATTTCTAACGATTTTATGGGTTAGTTGGTTAATTGTGATTAAAACCTCTGTACTACACGAGTCAGTAATGCTGTATGTTACCTGCTCACCGCCAGTCATGAAGATTTTAATACATAATATATCGATTAAAGTTTGTTTATGCAACGTATTAAAAAAAAAACACTTGATACAATAATGTATATTTTGATTATATTGAAAATGATAAACAAATTTGTATTCAATCTGGTAAAATTGTAATATACAGAATAAAAGTCATTATAACGTGTCTGGAGCAACTATGAAACGAGAATTTGGAGAGGACACATTAAAGAACATTATAGAACATTTCTGTTATAGGACATTATAAATCACGTTATAACAATATAGGAAGGATAAAAAAAAATATGCAAAGTTACCTACACTGATTCAAATTCAAAATTCAAATTCAAAGTTTATTCTCTATAAGGATTACAATGCTGAGTTTACAGAATTTGGTTATTGTGTGGTTTACATGGGGTTGTTGTGGATTTATAATATCTGTTTATGAAGACAACTGTCAAATAACATGGCTACTAATACACTTGAGTCTTTAAAACATGTAACTGACTTTGAGAGGGATTCTTCTCCAGACAGGACAATGGAAATACAAGAACTCCTCTCTCTCGTCGATTCACCGGTATTCTCCCGGCCCGGGCCTTTTCCAAGTGGTGGCCCGGCCTTGGCTCCCTGTCGAGGGAGTGTCTGAGACCTAAGTCTCCCATGGGAGGAGGTACAAGTACCCTCTCATCGTTGGGACCAAGTGTCCCCAGGTCTAGCCACATTCCCCGCCCTCACGGGGCTCGTAGGGAGAAGCTAGGCCTCTCTGGTCTGCCATCCCCGCCCTAAGGGGGCTAATGGGAACGACAGTCTTGTGAGCTGCAAGCTCTGGCTCAGGCACCTACCCTGCCCTAGAAGAGCTGGGCATGGTGTCGATCACAAGAACCCAAATGGAAATACAAAGACCCCCAAAGACCAACCCCAATGGAAAAATAAAATGAACGTAATGGAAATAAGTCAATTTATCTGACTTTTTTGGATTATCCAAGGTAATTTACAAAATACGTTACTATGTATGATAATTGTACTTATGTGTACCTGTACCTAGATAAACTTACTTGCTAACTAGTCTCACAAAATCTTTGTTGACAAACAAATACAATAGTTACCCAAAAAGTTTAAGAGAGAAAATAAATAACAAGGGATAGAAAACGTCAGTTTCTGGAGTAACTTACCTGGAGCATCCTGGTCATCGATGGTATCATGAGCGACCCTCGGGCACTTCCTGAGTGCCACGTCCAGCAGGGTGCGTCCTCCCAGCAGCGGCAGGACGGCGTTGGTGTCAAAGAGGCCGCCGAAGGAGCCGTCAGGACGCTGATGAGACAAGACGTACTCTTGTGCCCGCGTCGCGTTCCATGATCCAGCCAACTGACTGGACATCATTGCCTGAGGAAGTGTGATGGAGACGTGAGGGAGGGAAGGAGGGAGGGACGGAGGGAAGAAGGAGGGAGACAGGAAACCCAGAGGGAGGGAACGGAAAGAAGGGAGGTAAGGAAGTAGAGAGGGAAGGAAAGAGAGAGTAAAGGAGACAAAAGTGGCGATGGGGGGAGGAACAGAGAAAAGGAGAGGATTGAAAAATAACATATTGAGAGAGAGAAGAGAGATGAGAGAGATAGAGAGAGAGAGAGAGAGAATGAGAGAGAGAAGAGAGAGAGAGAGAGAGAGAGAGAGAGAAGAGAGAGAGAGAGAGAGAGAGAGAGAGAGGAGAGAGAGAGAGAGAGAGAGAGAGAGAGAGAGAGAGAGAGAGAGGCCCTCTCATCATATTAATAAAGTCAACATGGTTTATCAGTGACGTCACACTGAACGTCGGCGATGATTGGCCGACGACATTACCAACACATTGTCTGCACTAATTGGCTTGCTCAGTAAACGAGAGAATAAAACAGGTAATTCGTTTGAACTATTATGATAGCGAAGAATTAGTCTGTATTATAAGATTTCTATTCATTCTTGCATACAGGTACAACTGTTGTTGATATTAAAGTAGCATTGCAGGTGCTTAAGGAATCCAATACTACTGCTGAAAGTGTGGAGGTGTACAGATGCCAAGTTCAAGAGAAAAACAGTAACAGCAGATGAGTGGAAACATGAGGAGATTGAAGGGAAACTTGCAACACTGCACCAGCACCAGTCTAGTTGCTGGAAGATATCTCACTACATGAAGACAGATGTACATACGACGCAACTCCAGGAGACAGTGGATGTATCGTATCTAACGATTAATGGTTGGTGGGCGTGTCCCAAGATCCTGGCTTCGACCCTTGCAGGTAAAGCTAGGCACACACACACACACACACACACACACACACACACACACACACACACACACACACACACACACACACGCACACACACACACACACACACACACACACACACACACACACACACACACACACACACACACACACACACACACACACGAAGTGTCCCTGTTTGCAGATGATGTGAAGTTAATGAGGAGAATTAAATCAGATGAGGACCAGGCAGGACTTCAAAGAGACCTGGACAGACTGGACACCTGGTCCAGCAAATGGCTTCTCGAATTTAATCCTGCCAAATGCAAAGTCATGAAGATAGGGGAAGGGCACAGAAGACCACAGACAGAGTATAGGCTAGGTGGCCAAAGACTGCAAACCTCACTCAAGGAGAAAGATCTTGGGGTGAGTATAACACCGAGCATGTCTCCGGAAGCACACATAAATCAGATAACTGCTGCAGCATATGGGCGCCTGGCAAACCTGAGAACAGCATTCCGATACCTTAGTAAGGAATCGTTCAAGACACTGTACACCGTGTATGTCAGGCCCATACTGGAGTATGCAGCACCTGTTTAGAACCCGCACTTGATAAAGCACGTCAAGAAAACTAGAGAAAGTACAAAGGTTTGTGACAAGGTTAGTTCCAGAGCTAAGGGGAATGTCCTATGAAGAAAGATTAAGGGAAATCGGCCTGACGACACTGGAGGACAGGAGGGTCAGGGGAGACATGATAACGACATATAAAATACTGCGTGGAATAGACAAGGTGGACAAAGACAGGATGTTCCAGGGAGGGGACACAGAAACAAGAGGCCACAATTGGAAGTTGAAGACACAAATGAGTCAGAGAGATATTAGGAAGTATTTCTTCAGTCATAGAGTTGTAAGGCAGTGGAATAGCCTAGAAAATAACGTAGTGGAGGCAGGAACCATACACAGTTTTAAGACGAGGTTTGATAAAGCTCATGGAGCGGGGAGAGAGAGGGCCCAGTAGCAACCGGTGAAGAGGCGGGGCCAGGAGCTAAGACTCGACCCCTGCAACCACAAATAGGCGAGTGAGTACAAATAGGTGAGTACACACACACACACACACACGCCTTCGATGAACTACAAAAAAGTCAGTTAATTAAACTTTGGCACCATTTTTGTATACTTTACTGGCACTGGTGCGTGACGCAGCTCTCTCTCTCTCTCTCTCTCTCTCTCTCTCTGTAATCTTTGATCTATCTGTAACCTACGACGTAACCTGGAGTGGGAGTGTGGTGGAGGAACTAACCTGGAGTGGGAGTGTGGTGGAGGAACTAACCTGGAGTGCGAGTGTGGTGGAGGAACTAACCTGGAGTGGGAGTGTGGTGGAGGAACTAACCTGGAGTGGGAGTGTGGTGGAGGAACTAACCTGGAGTGGGAGTGTGGTGGAGGAACTAACCTGACTGGGAGTGTGGTGGAGGAACTAACCTGGAGTGCGAGTGCGGTGGAGGAACTAACCTGGAGTGCGAGTGCGGTGGAGTGGAGATTGGCGTTGAAGGAGCCGTCAGGAGCCTGGTGCTTCAAGAGGTTGTGTAAAGCTTGTTGAATGACGAGAAGTAGATCACGGTGACGCTGGTGCTGGGCGCAGTGCAGCGCCAAGATCACCACCGACAGTGTGTCTGGGAACATACTTCAAAGATATATTCACATACAGTATATACACAGTTTTAAAAGTATGCGCTCACACACACACACACTAGCAAGGAGAGAGTAAACCTAGTAGCAGGGAGAGAGTGAACCTAGTAGCGACCAGTGAAGAGGTGGGGCCAGGAGCTGCAACCACTATTAGGTGGGTACAATTAGGTGAGTATACACACACACACACACACCACTACTCGCCTCACTAACCGGTTTGGGCAGTTCCACTGAGAAGTAATCTCAGTCACAAAACTACTGTCAAAAAGTGTGTGTGGTATTCAGTGTACCAACAGTCTCCCTAGCCAGCCTTGTCGGTAGACAAATTCCATCTGCTGTATTCTATTTAATCTAATAATTAAAAGTGTTTTCTCATCTGCTTCTTAAAAGACTATATTTTATCTGTGTTTACAAAATTAAAGAACAATCTATTCCAGTGTTCCATAATTTAGCAGAAATATTTTATCTTCATTTGTATTGCTTCTCCTGCCTCGGAGTTTCATGCTGCTGTTTCGTGTCATCGAGTCTCGTTTTACTTCAAACATCTCATGAAGTCTGAGTGTGTAAAATGTGTTTCTTACTTTAAATATGTTAACGAGAACTTATGATAGTCCCTATTTCCTAAGAGACATAAGTTCTTTAAACATCTGATTAACTTTGCATATTTTTATTAAAAGAAGGAGTTTTGCTGCACTTTTCAGCACTGTCTCCAGTTTACCTTCGTTTTTATGCAATTTAGGGACGAAAACTGAAACGTTTACTAAAGGTGAGGTCTGAAAAGATCATTGTGGTGTGAACACTGAGTCAACTCTACTGGAGCTGGTGTCACTGATGGTGTCACTTATGGTGTCACTGATGGTAATAACTCAAAGATCCTTATCTGCCGGTATTACATCTTCATGATTTCCAGATACATATGAGTTTTGTTATCTCTCTAGTAAACTGTACCCACGAACACAAAAATATAAACTCTCACGCACTCATTTTACCCTCCATCACTCCCTCCCTCCGACCTTCCCTCGCTCCCTCCCTCCGACCTTCCCTCGCTCCCTCCTTCTTTCTCCCTCCACTAACTCACCTATAGAGTGAATCTTGCTCTGATCTGTGGTCATGTCCACCAGGCGTCTCACTCTGGACTTGCGGACATGGTGGCCAGCCGTGCAGGTGGCCAGTTGAGCGAAGGCCACCTCGAAGTCCACCTCCCCCTCCTGGTGGCCCAACATGGCTGTTGGAGAGTACATAACTTAGCAAAACTGTGCAATGATGCACACACACACACACACACACACACACACACACACACACACACACACACACACACACACACACACACACACACACACACACACACACACACACACCGGGTCCTCCCAAGCCAAGCTAAGCATGTAAAGAAATTAGAGTAAGTGCAAAGGTTTGCAACAAGACTTGTCCCAGAGCTAAGGGGCATGTCCTACGAGGAGAGGTTAAGGGAAATCGCGCTGACGAAACTAGAGAACAGGAGAGTTAGGGGGGGGATATGATACGACATATAAAATACTGAGAGGAACTGACAAGGTGGACAGAGACAGGATGTTCCAGCAATGGGACACAGCAACAAGGGGACACAGTTGGAAGATTAAGTCTCAGATGAATCACTGGGATGTTAGGAAGTATTTCTTCAGTCACGGAGTTGTCAGAAAGTGGAAAAGTCTGGGAAGTGATGTGGTGGAGGCAGGATCCATACACAGCTTTAAGAAGAGGTACGATAAAGCTCATGGAGCAGGAAGAGTGACCTAGTAACAACTAATGAAGAGGCGGGGCCAGGAGCTATGAATCGACCCCTGAAACCACAACTAGATGAGTACACACACAGATGACTCAGATGAGTCAGAGGGATGTTAGGAATTGTCAGGAAGTGGAATAGTCTAGAAAGTGATGTTGTGGAGGCAGGATCCATACACAGCTTTAAGATGAGGTAAAATAAAGCTCATGGAGTAGGGAGAGAGTGAACCTGGTAGCGTCCAGGGAAGAGGCGGGCCCAGGAGCTATGAATCGACCCCTGCAACCACAATTAGGCGAGTACACAAACATATTACGATTTTGATAAATCTCAACAATCACAGTGGACAACATACATGCTGGAAATATTTCTTCCCTGGAGCTGGAAATATTTCTTCCCTGGAGCTGGAAATATTTCTTCCCTGGAGCTGGAAATATTTCTTCCCTGGAGCTGGAAATATTTCTTCCCTGGAGCTGGAAATATTTCTTCCCTGGAGCTGGAAATAATTACTTATCGGTGCTGGAAATATTTCTTCCCTGGAGCTGGAAATATTTCTTCCCTGGAGCTGGAAATATTTCTTCCCTGGAGCTGGAAATATTTCTTCCCTGGAGCTGGAAATATTTCTTCCCTGGAGCTGGAAATAATTACTTATCGGTGCTGGAAATATTTCTTCCCTGGAGCTGGAAATAATTACTTATCGGTGCTTACCTGGAGTTTACCTGGAGAGAGTTTCGGGGGTCAACGCCCCCGCGGCCCGGTCTGTGACCAGGCCTCCTGGTGGATCAGCGCCTGATCAACCAGGCTGTTGCTGCTGGCTGCACGCAAACCAACGTACGAGCCACAGCCCGGCTGATCAGGAACTGACTTTAGGTGCTTGTCCAGTGCCAGCTTGAAGACTGCCAGGGGTCTGTTGGTAATCCCCCTTATGTGTGCTGGGAGGCAGTTGAACAGTCTCGGGCCCCTGACACTTATTGTATGGTCTCTTAACGTGCTAGTGACACCCCTGCTTTTCATTGGGGGATGGTGCATCGTCTGCCAAGTCTTTTGCTTTCGTAGTGAGTGATTTTCGTGTGCAAGTTCGGTACTATCCCTCTAGGATTTTCCAGGTGTATATAATCATGTATCTCTCCCTCCTGCGTTCCAGGGAATACAGGTTTAGAAACCTCAAGCGCTCCCAGTAATTGAGGTGTTTTATCTCCGTTATGCGCGCCGTGAAAGTTCTCTGTACATTTTCTAGGGCGGCAATTTCACCTGCCTTGAAAGGTGCTGTTAGAGTGCAGCAATATTCCAGCCTAGATAGAACAAGTGACCTGAAGAGTGTCATCATGGGCTTGGCCTCCCTAGTTTTGAAGGTTCTCATTATCCATCCTGTCATTTTTCTAGCAGATGTGATTGATACAATGTTATGGTCCTTGAAGGTGAGATCCTCCGACATAATCACTCCCAGGTCTTTGACGTTGGTGTTTCGCTCTATTTTGTGGCCAGAATTTGTTTTGTACTCTGATGAAGATTTAATTTCCTCATGTTTACCATATCTGAGTAATTGAAATTTCTCATCGTTGAACTTCATATTGTTTTTCTGCAGCCCACTGAAAGATTTGGTTGATGTCCGCCTGGAGCCTTGCAGTGTCTGCAATGGAAGACACTGTCATGCAGATTCGGGTGTCATCTGCAAAGGAAGACACGGTGCTGTGGCTGACATCCTTATCTATGTCGGATATGAGGATGAGGAACAAGATGGGAGCTAGTACTGTGCCTTGTGGAACAGAGCTTTTCACCGTAGCTGCCTCGGACTTTACTCTGTTGACGACTACTCTCTGTGTTCTGTTAGTGAGGAAATTATAGATCCATCGACCGACTTTTCCTGTTATTCCTTTAGCGCGCATTTTGTGCGCTATTACGCCATGGTCACACTTGTCGAAGGCTTTTGCAAAGTCTGTATATATTACATCTGCATTCTTTTTGTCTTCTAGTGCATTTAGGACCTTGTCGTAGTGATCCAGTAGTTGAGACAGACAGGAGCGACCTGTTCTAAACCCATGTTGCCCTGGGTTGTGTAACTGATGGGTTTCTAGATGGGTGGTGATCTTGCTTCTTAGGACCCTTTCAAAGATTTTTATGATATGGGATGTTAGTGCTATTGGTCTGTAGTTCTTTGCTGTTGCTTTACTGCCCCCTTTGTGGAGTGGGGCTATGTCTGTTGTGTGGGTTGAGGTCGTGTCTGGTGATGTGGGTTGAGGTCGTATCTGGTGGTGTGGGTTGAGGCAGTGTCTGGTGGTGTGGGTTGAGGCAGTGTCTGGTGGTGGGTTGAAGTCGTGTCTGGTGGTGTGGGTTGAGGCAGTGTCTGGTGGTGTGGGTTGAGGCAGTGTCTGGTGGTGTGGGTTGAGGTCGTATCTGGTGGTGTGGGTTGAGGTCGTGTCTGGTGGTGTGGGTTGAGGTCGTGTCTGGTGGTGTGGGTTGAGGTTATGTCTGGTGGTGTGGATTGAGGTCGTGTCTGGTGGTGTGGGTTGAGGTTATGTCTGGTGGTGTGGGTTGAGGTCGTGTCTGGGGATGTGGGTTGAGGTCGTATCTGGTGGTGTGGGTTGAGGCAGTGTCTGGTGGTGTGGGTTGAGGCAGTGTCTGGTGGTGTGGGTTGAGGTCGTGTCTGGTGGTGTGGGTTGAGGCAGTGTCTGGTGGTGTGGGTTGATGTCGTATCTGGTGGTGTGGGTTGAGGCAGTGTCTGGTGGTGTGGGTTGAGGTCGTGTCTGGTGGTGTGGGTTGAGGCAGTGTCTGGTGGTGTGGGTTGAGGTCGTATCTGGTGGTGTGGGTTGAGGCAGTGTCTGGTGGTGTGGGTTGAGGTCGTGTCTGGTGGTGTGGGTTGAGGCAGTGTCTGGTGGTGTGGGTTGAGGTCGTGTCTGGTGGTGTGGGTTGAGGCAGTATCTGGTGGTGGGTTGAGGTCGTATCTGGTGGTGTGGGTTGAGGTCGTGTCTGGTGGTGTGGGTTGAGGCAGTATCTGGTGGTGTGGGTTGAGGTCGTATCTGGTGGTGTGGGTTGAGGTCGTGTCTGGTGGTGTGGGTTGAGGCAGTATCTGGTGGTGTGGGTTGAGGTCGTATCTGGTGGTGTGGGTTGAGGTCGTATCTGGTGGTGTGGGTTGAGGTCGTGTCTGGTGGTGTGGGTTGAGGCAGTATCTGGTGGTGTGGGTTGAGGTCGTGTCTGGTGGTGTGGGTTGAGGTCGTATCTGTGGTGTGGGTTGAGGTCGTATCTGGTGGTGTGGGTTGAGGCCGTGTCTGGTGGTGTGGGTTGAGGTCGTGTCTGGTGGTGTGGGTTGAGGTCGTGTCTGGTGGTGTGGGTTGAGGTCGTGTCTGGTGGTGTGGGTTGAGGTCGTGTCTGGGTGTGGGTTGAGGCAGTATCTGGTGGTGTGGGTTGAGGTCGTGTCTGGTGGTGTGGGTTGAGGTTGTATCTGGTGGTGTGGGTTGATGTCGTGTCTGGTTGTGTGGTTGAGGTCGTGTCTGGTGGTGTGGGTTGAGGTCGTGTCTGGTGGTGTGGGTTGAGGTCGTGTCTGGTGGTGTGGGTTGAGGTCGTATCTGGTGGTGTGGGTTGATGTCGTGTCTGGTTGTGTGGGTTGAGGTCGTGTCTGGTGGTGTGGGTTGAGGTCGTGTCTGGTGGTGTGGGTTGAGGTCGTATCTGGTGTGTGGGTTGAGGTCGTGTCTGGTGGTGTGGGTTGAGGTCGTGTCTGGTGGTGTGGGTTGAGGTCGTATCTGGTGGTGTGGGTTGAGGTCGTGTCTGGTGGTGTGGGTTGAGGTCGTGTCTGGTGGTGTGGGTTGAGGTCGTATCTGGTGGTGTGGGTTGAGGTCGTATCTGGGGGTGTGTGGGTTTAATGTCAATAATCTCGCGGTGAATACAGATGACATTCATATGTAATTTGCTGGTGGTAGAGGGATGGAGAGTAGAAGGAAGGAAGGAAGGAAGGAAGGGAGGAGGGGGGAGGGAGGGAGGGAGAGGGGAGAAGAGGTAATGAGAGTAAAGGATGGATGAGAGGGAGGGGGTTAGGAGATTAGGGGGAAGGAGTAAATGGTGTGTTGGAAGAGGAGGGAGATATACTCCCTGAGGTTGGTGAAAAAGGGTAATGCTAGAGCGAGAGGGAGGAAGGGAGGGAGAGAGAGAGAGAGAGAGAGAGATAGAGTGAGAGAGAAGAGAGAGAGAGAGAGAGAGAGAGAGAGAGAGAGAGAGAGAGAGAGAGACAGAGAGAGACAGAGACAGAGACAGACAGAGACAGAGAGAGACAGAGAGAGACAGAGAGAGAGAGAGAGAGAGAGAGAGAGAGAGAGAGAGAGAGAGAGAGAGAGAGAGAGAGAGAGAGAGAGAGAGAGAGAGAGAGAGAAAACACTAACAGTAAATGTGTCATCTTCTTCAAATGTCACCACAGGGGTGCCACCAGCCTGGGGTGCCACCAACCTGGGGTGCCACCAGCCTGAGGTGCCACC